GTTCGAGGAGCAGGGGATCCAGGAGCAGGAAGAGGAGGAGAGTAAAGAGGGTGGGATTGATCAAGAGGAATTGCTTTACTAGTATCACCAGAAATAGGTAGCGCAACATTCACCGCATTCGAAAAACTTTCGAATGAAGAATGGGGTAGGATTCCTAATCCCGTACTCGTTACTGACGGATTCCTCGTCGTCGTCGAAGGAGTAGTCAAAGAGGCAGACACAGAAGCAGAAGCAGAAGCAGACACGGAGGCATCTGTACTTCTCCCAGACCTAGACCTGTAAAAATCCTTCTCCGGTACCTTGGGTGATACCGATTCTTCTAATACAGGTGAAGGTCCTTGGAATCCATATCCTGAATTCCTTCCACCAACACCACTTCCACCGAGCCCACTCCCCATCGTCCCAATAGTCCCTGACCTAAACACACTAGCCGTATCCTTCGTATACACAGAACTTCGTTCAGTTATAGGCGTAAGTAATGCTCTTTCATCTGTATCCCTGTCCCTATCGCCACCTCCACCTCTATCTTGAGCATCTTCTGGAGCATTATACCCAGACGAATCAAAAGATAAAGGTGGGAGTTGAGGAAGTGATAAAGGTCCTGAAGAACTTTTTGGTTGAGGTTGGACTCTTGTACCTGCGCCTGTTCCAGCACCCGCACCAGAAGGTCCTGCAGTATTCGACGCACCCGGTGGTGTCAACGAAGAAACACCCTTCCCCTTCCCAATCTCATTCTCATCCATCCTTTCCTTCAAAATATCAATCAACCTCGCTCGAATAGACGACGTGCGATCATCTCGAGGGTCAAGAGTTTCTGCATGTTCACGGTCTAGGAAGAGGAGCTGTAAATGGGAGGGGGGGAGTATGAAAGGGAGGTAGGGGTATGAAAGGGAGGCAGGGGGGTATATGAAGGAAAGGGAGAGGCGGGATGAAAGGAGAGGAGAGAAAGGAAAAGGTTACAAAACAAATCAGTAAGAAAAAGAGAAAAAAAACCACATAATTGAACTCACATCTTTATTCGGACCTACAGGATACGCGAACATTAAACTACCTGGATCTCGAGGATCCCATGTCCATCCTTGAGGTCTGCCGTATAATTTGAAAGCGTCGTGTAGGGCTGTGATTGCGAAAAGGTGAAATTAAAGAAGGGAAAGTGGGAAGGAGGAGGAGGGAGGGGAAGGCGAAATGAAGGGAGGGTGTAAGGACAGGCCGGAAAGATGAAAGAAGGGGGATATAGGAGGAGGAAGAGGAGGTGTGGACGGGAGGGGAAGAAGGAAGGAGGAAAGAAAATAAGTTTAGTGAAAGAAAAAAAAAAAGAGAACGAAGAACGCCAACCACTGACCAATGACCCATTTCAACATCTCCGCAGATTGACTTAACCCTCCTTCTAATTGAGGCATTACTAACAGCCATCCTTCTCTTCCTCGCATCGCTCCAGCTCCTATTCCACTTGAACCTGAACCTCCTGCTCCTCCGCCTGCTCCTGTTCCTGCTGAACCTGGACGTACTCCTGAGCCTGAACCAACTCCATCTTCAGATCCGAATGTAGCTTCGATTTTGATTAGAGTGGAACGGGAGATAAGTTCGGGACGTTCCGGGTAGACTGCGAATACCTGTAAAGGGGGGGAAGGGGAGGAAGGAGGGAAGGGAGGAAGGAAGGAAAACGATGGGGCGAAAGGATAGAATGTAAATCAATCAATTAACATATAACAACTCCAAAAAACCTCATAAAAAAGAAATAAAAATAAAAACTCACCTGAGAGACAACCGGTAACGTTAAAATAGGTTTTTTCCTATCTTTGGGTTTAGGTGAAGTGTACATTGTTACCATGGGTGGTTCTAGATTGTATTGTTAAAAAACGAGATAAGAAACGGGAGGGAAGGGAGGAGGAAACAGAAAAACAAAACCCGGGGGATTAGTAATTTATGTTCATTCAGGAATATAACATTACACGAATGAACTTACCATAAACACGCGTACCATTCCCCTGCGAAGACGAAGACGAATAATCCCTAGAGAATAACGCCGACATGCGTTTTTTGGTGAACCCTGTTATTGTTGAACTCGCGGATGGAGGTGGCGTTGTGAGGTTCGCGTTGTTGGGGTTTGAGCTGGAGTTGGGAAGGGAGTTGGAGTTGGGGCTGGTAGGACTTTGATTATTCTGATTAGAAGAAATCCGACCGAGTTCGTCTGGACCTATTATAAAGAATGAACCAAACAGCAGGGCAGGAGAGAACAGGAGAGAACAGCAGGACACAGGAGGGACCAGGAGGGAATAGGAGAAAACAGTAGACAACAGGAAAAAGAAGAAAGAAAAGAAAGACTCAAAAACACACATACCATTCATAGTAGTAGTAGCACCCTCAGTACCAGCACTTACAACCATCCAAACAAGTTTCCAATCCGTTTGACCAGCGATACGTATCCTAGCCCATCCTTCGAGACGACCTCGAACGAGAGTGGTTGGTATGTCCTTAGCTATAGAAAGAGAGAAAAAAAGGATGCAATTCGATCAGTATATGAGTTTCATATAATGATAAAAACAACACCAATGAAGGTCAAGGAAGACAACAAATTCAACGAAGACCAACAAAGCCAACGAATCCAACAAAGAAAGTTAACGAAAACGAAATGGGAAACCAGTCCCAACCACCACTTACCACTCAACGTAATCCTACACAAATGTGCCGTATAAATCTCTTCCAGCCTACTCTTTTCCCAAGCACTCAACCTCAACGCCGCAGCCCAACTAATCAGGCTCTGCGTATTCGGACAAGCGAATAAAATCAAATTCGATCCAGCTGTATTCAATGTCAAGACATTTGTATACTTTTGTGCTGGAATCGCAGGTCTAGCTGGTTGAGCTGGTATAGCCGGTTTACCTGGTTGGGAGGGTTTACCAGATTTACCAAGTATAGCGGGTTTAGCTGGTTGTGCGGGTTGTGCAGGTTGAGCTGGTTGTGCAGGAATAGTAACAGATCCTAAAACCTGAACAAACGCATCTGTCATATTAATATAACTTGGAGGAACCTCTTTCCCCATCTTCGAAGCTTCTTGGATTTCTTTCATATTCCATACGCTTAACGTCGTTCCACCTAATTGCGCCCAAACTTCTTCCCAGCCACCGACACCACTACCACCACCACCATTGTTGATGTTGTTCTGATTCTCGTTTGGTGTATAAGCAGGTGTATGGGGTTTCGAACCATTAGGTTCTCGTTCGATTCGACGAATGAGAGGTCCGGAGAAATAGATTTTGTGTGCATGTGCGACGGTTAGGGAAACGATGGATCGGATTTCAGGGTGCAGCGGTGGTGGCGCTGGTTGTTGTGGTTGTGAAGCTGAGGGTTGGTTGGAAGAAGAAGAAAGAGGGACGAGAGTGCTCGTGTTGGGAACAGGAGCAGGAGGAGGTCCGGTTGAAGAAAACGAAGAAGGAGAGAGAGGAAGTTGTTGTTGCATTGGAAAAGCAGGAGGAGGTCCAGACGATGTCGAAGGTCTAGACGCTTTCCCAATACCATCATCAAACACTGGTCCCCTCTGCCCAGACAGCCCTACATCCAACGCCGCTGCCGACGTCGACGACGGCTGCTGCTTCTGCTGCTGCTGCTGCTGCTGCTGAGGTGGTTGTTGTTTATGCCGAAACGAAAAGAACGACGAAGTCCTCGAATGACCTTGGTTCTGATTCTGGCTCTGGCTTTGGCGGTTCTGGTCGGGAGTCTGGTTTTGTGATGAAGCAGTAGAATTAGAGGTGGTTGCAGAGAGAATATTATTCATTGGACGAGGATGTGCCTTGTCAGATGAAGGCGCGAACATCGTTGTCTTCGAGTTTGCCGTGTTTCGGGGTTTTGTCTCCGAGTTTGTGTTGGCGTTGGTGTGAACGTCGTCAGAACTACTGTCCCCAATTCCACGTCCACTGCTGATATTATCCCTGCTATCCTTACTATCCAATTCCAATTCCTCCTCTCGTAGTAACAACGACGGCGGCGACGGTGGGGGTGTTGGTTTAGAAATAAAATGATGCGTAGGCGTAGTCGCTCGAAACTCCTGAAGTTTCGTTGGTGAGATGAAACTTTGTCGACGTGAATCCCACTTGGTGCTTTGTGGTGCCACTACTATGCTACCGGTATTGTTATTGTTGTTATTATTACTATCGTCGTCGTTGGTGATTGAGGTGTTCATTCACAGGCAAGGAAATCGTATCGTATATCAGAATCAGAATCAGAAATCAGCCCGGAGGAGTATCGTGGAAGGATACAGAAGGTACAGAAAGATACAGAAGCCTGTGCGCGGTTACTGTTAGCCAGTGAGAAAAAAAAATTCAAAAGAAAACGTTTGTAACTTTATGTGATCTTCGGCGATCCCGGGTATTGCCGAAATGAACGGAATGTGAACGGAAGAAAAAAAAAAAACACAAAACATATTGGAGCTTTTTAGCGCTCCTGGTCCCCCGCTTGAACATTGTTCTTTCATGGTCGTCCTTCCATGAAGTTGCCCCGTCAGGTTGAACATAGCTAGGCTCAATAGAAATAACTAAAACCCCGACCGCTCAACGGACCAGCGCACTAAGAGTCCCTACATACACCAAGTACACTGCAGGCAGGCTACAGGTACAGCCTGGATACAGCGCTCAACGATCTGTTTGAACTGTTCATGAACTGTATCAAACTGTCAAGCAAGAAAGATCTAGAATTTTAAAGACTAGTTTATCAGTATTTCATTCAGATTTCAATACCAGTGGTCCAGCAGTGTCCACCCTAGATCACTATCGTATCATTGAAATCAGTAGCCCCCCCATATTAGTATAGCCATTTATCCTCGTTTGTCAAGTCAACCGACACCTCCCTACATAGCCTCCGACCTCGAGAGCTTAGAGCTCAGAGTCTAGATTCAGTCAGTCAGTTACCTTCTCCAATATTTTGAACAACTTCTCGAGTAAACTATAAACACACAATGATAATACACTATCTGATAATTACTCATATAAGGGCTAAATTATATGTCCCTGGTAGTATATCGGTTAGTACACGCGCCTGTCACTAGGGGCCGGTCGCACCTCTTACGCGCGAAAGCTGGGTTCGACTCCCAGCCAGGGAGGGTGTTAAATAACATTTTATTCGTGTCTTTTTCGTTCCTATTTCTTTTCTCCTTTTCTCTCTTTCCATCTCTCTTCCTCTCTCTCTTACTTAATCCTAGTCTTAACAAGCTTTATAGCCCATGCCTACATAACTGTGACATACTTTGTTTGAACTCACATTCTCTCAACTCAAAAGTTATGAATGAAGTATTGACTTTTGGGTTCATATATACAGAACAGAATATATTTAGATGGAATAATATCATTAATCAAGAATAACCTCAGGATCTACAATAATCTGTTGTTACACATTCAGTATCACCTTTTCAAAAAAAAGACATGTCAGAGTTTATATAATTGAACAAGTGTCAGCAACTCCCCAGCTCTCTCAAAAGACAACCAGGTGTCACATGATAGTCAATGAGCAAGAGGATGAAAAAGATGATAAGACTGGAATAAAACCCAACACAAGTCTAGCTATCAAGGAGAATAGACAAGAATAGAGCTAAAGAATATAACTACAAAATATCTTATCTTATATATGTATGGTGAATGAAGCTGTGAGAACTATCTCACACTGTAACTGCAAGGATATATAATATGAGTCACCCGTATCCATAAGTAAAGCTGTAGGTATACAATGAGTAGACAATAAGGCAATTTAAAAGAAATGTGGGTGTGATACAATAGTGATGATGACCTATCAATGAACTGACAGGCATGAGAAAGTTTGTCATATGTATGTGAATCAAGTTATTCTGCAATCCATTTACCTACTTCCTGAAGAGTTCCTAAGCCCAGGAATCCTTTGTTATCTTTCCTCATCATTATCAGATGAGTACTATACCTATTATATCCCTTCCTTTGTTCTTTACACTACAAGCTAGTCTATTCAGAGTTAGTATTGCTTCACGACACTTATGTAAAGCATAGTATAAAGCTATTATATTGAATAGGTAATTCTGTAGTTTGAATATCAACTCAGATCTGCCTCTTCTTCATATTACAGATGTTCACTCTCTGTGATACATTCTCAACATGTTATATCTATGCAAGCTAAGTCTTTACGAAGCTTCGCGAACCATTCCACTACTTAGATATTACTTATATGTCATGAAACGATCTTTTTCATTATTCTTTTCTTTTATTATTCTTTTCCTTTTCTTTTATTTACTTACTTAATCACCAAAGCGCTTACACTAGCGCTTATTATATTTTCATTATCATTTAGGTTACACGCGTCAACCTTATTGTTCTCGCGTTGTCGTTTCACTTAGACGCAACTCTCTCGTGCCTGTCAGCTCATTGACAGGATGACGTCATTATTGTTCCGCTTCCATGCTTCTTTTCATATTGCCTTATTGTTTACTCACCTAATACCTACAGCTTTACTTATGGATACGAGCGACTCTTATTGTAGATCCTCACGGTTACGGTGCAAGACATCTCTCACGGTTTCATATCCCATTTCATATATAAGACTAGGTATTTTGTAGTTATATTCCTTAGCTCTATTCTCGTCTATTCTCCTCGGTAGCTAGACTTGTAGTTGGGTTGTTTTATCCTCATCGCTTTTCTCATCCTCTTGCTCATCGTTCATCGTGTGACGCCTGGTTATCTTTTGAGAGAGCTAGCGAGTCGCTGACATTATACCTGTTTACCACTATGTAATTACTTTGCGAAGGAATTCCGATGCAAAGCATTTACTCTTTATCTCTTATCATTCTTATTGGATTTACACTATCCCTTTTATATCCCTTCCTTTGTTCTTTACTTACGAGCTAACCCATTCGGGCATGGCATCGCTTTGCAATCCTGACTTACCTTTAGTATAAAGCTACGGTAACGAATAGGTGGTTCCTTAGTTTAAATATCAACTTTGATAGCACTTCGATAGTGATACCAAATAATCATCTATCTTTATCATCGTTTTAACATCCTCATTGTCAGTATGTTCCGCGATGATCATCATGAACGGAACACGTTTACTTTTCTTCTCTTGTGGACATGCGAAGTGTCGAGGACTCTACTAATAGTGGAGTCAAGGTCCGACTACTTTGTCTAGGATCGTTTTACCTCGCGAAGTATTTTACTTCGTATTTTCCCGCAATCATCCCGTGATCATTCCCAACGATCCCTTTGTGCACGATCATAACACAACACTGCTCTGACATTCTGCAAAGCAACCTTTGTAAACTGATGCTGCTACTTCCTTTACCATTGGACCATCAATGTGTTGAGGGCACTGTCATGACGTGCTATACAAGATACAGTACTTACTTTATTTCTCCTACATCTCCTCCTTCCCTCATCGCTGTTACTGTTTGGATCCATCTACATCATTCCGCATCCTTCTATCACATTCCAAACACTTCCATCAACTTCCCGCGCTTTTGCTTACTCATCAAGACTCTTGTATATATAGTACAGTAGCTGACACCTAGTTCCCCATCTTGACCTCTTGGTCTTTGGAACTAGGTTAGTACCTGTATCATCATTTACCTTCAATATACTTACTTGGTCTTTGGAACTAGTTTTCCTTGTGCGACCCTAGTGATTGGCCCTTGCGCTATCACTGCTGTCTTGATCCTTATTTCTTTCAGCCTTCGTGTGTGGTGCTAGCCCCACCCTCGCCTCGGCTTGTGCTTTGAGCCTGTGCCTCCTCTGTGCCTTCTCCCTTCGTCACCACAGGCACTACTAACAGTAGTGTCAATGTCCAACTACCTCTACTAAACTCTGTGAATCATTCCTCATTTCATGAGGGAATTATTCCCTCACATTGCCACCCAATTCCGCAATTATATCACAATTATTCCACAATTCCAGAGTTGCATGATCTTAACAATGACCTTCATGGAGCTTACTAACAAGAGGTAATGTTAAAATGATAATACAGATAGTTGATGATTAGATGGTACCACTATTGAAGTGTCATCAAGGTTGATATTTAAACTGAGGAATTACCTATTCAATACCATAGCTTTTATACTATGCTTTACATCAGGATTGCAAAGCAATACTAGGCCCAAATCGGTTGGCTCATCAGAGAAAGAACAAAGGAAGGAATATAACAGGAATAGCACTCATCCAATAATGATGAGGAAAGATAACAAAAGACTACTTTGCATCAGAAATCCTTTGCAAAGGAAATACATAGTGGTGAAGAGATGTAAGTGATATATTTGAGGTATGAAAACAATCATGAAGCTTCATAAGGACTTAGCTTTGCACAGATATAACACACTCCCAATGTCCCAAAGATGGTAACTAATGTAGTCAACTGTATAATGGAAGAAAAGATAATGCCAGAGATAGGAGAAGGAATAACAAAGAAATGCAGAAAAAAGGATAAGCTTTGGAATGGATCTGAAGAGATAATGAAGAGTCCTTAATGAGGTAAGTTCCCTGCAAAGGAAGAAAAGTTGGTTGGAGATGCAGAAGAGTAGAGAGTGTTATTGCAAAATGTTGGAGTTGACCCGTGCGCCCGGTGCGCATGATACCTAAGACCGACGGCTTTCTTTATCTATTACTTATCATCGAACCCTTATCATCATCGAACCCCTATACTGTTCCTCCTTTATATGTCTTCGTGCCAACAGAATGTACCTCAGTCATTTCACTCCCATTGTTGTGCGACTGAGGTTCGTGTCCATTACTACTTACTGTTTCTCTCTTACTTACAGTCTCTAGTAGCTCTTACAAATATTCTCTGTCTTTCAGGTAGTTACTTGAGACTCCAATAGAGTCGTTTCACTCCCATCGTTGTGCGACTGAGTAGCTCTTACAGATATTCTCTGTCTTTCACAAAATACGTAAAATACTTAGCTTGCATGAATATAACACTCGCCAACTTTTACATTTGCATGCATACTAGCTCAATAACAATCATCATTTCTGTCCCCACACTGTAATCCCCTCTCCGTTTTTTTCATTTACATTACTGTTGTAGTTTGCTATAAATCTGTAATGCCTAAGAAGAAGTTATTAGTCATTAGTAGATCTTGGAATGGGAAATTCCAAATGCTTCGCGTAAGTTTCCGGCGCTTACACAGCTCTGGGGCTCCGTTTCTGATTCCGTTCGCAAAAATTATCTTTACATACACCAATCACCCCGCTCAAAATGGGTCAAAGGAATGTCTAAAAGCCTGCTACAGATCAAATTCTTTCTGCCAAAACTACATCGAAGCCAGAGCCGAATTCGCATGAATCACAATACCGCTGCTGTTCTTCCTCGTCTGCCAGTCCCAGATCTACAGAAGACCCTCACGAAATATCTTGATTCCCTGCGTCCCTTTCTGCTCCAGGACGCAACTCATGGGGGAACTTCGTACGATGAGGCGCTTGCTCTACGCACTAAATGGGCAGATGAGTTTCTTAATGGCATAGGAAGAGTTTGTCAGGAACGTCTCCACGGTCAGTATCGACAACTGTCATGCGTGGTTATCATTGGTCTATTGGTCTGATACTGCCATCCGAAGAACTCGATAGGAACTCGCCAGACAATTGGCTGGACGACAACTTCTGGTTGAGGAGTTACCTACAATGGAGGGTACCTCTTCTCATACATTCCAATTGGTGGCTTGTGTTTAATGACGACCCACTGCAACCTTCGGAAACACGTCGCACCCCCGGCTTCACCGAATGGCAGCTGCGAAGAGCAGCTTGGCTCGTTCATCGGACGTTGGAGCTCAAAGATAAAGTCAAATTGTGCGTACGCAAGTATACTTGCTCTGCTTGTGGTCACTAATGTTCTACCTCCATTTTCAGGCAAGAATTGCATCCGGTGACAACCCGTACAGGTATGCTGTTGAAGACATCTATTCTCTCTATGCACATGAACTTATCCTTGCAGGCGTTTGGATCCAAGAAAACATATCTAAAATGTTCAATCTTGCCCGAATCCCTCAACGCAACTGCGACGTTTTATCCCAAATCACTCCTGCGTCTGACCCCTTGTCACATAACATTATTGTCATGGTGGACAATTGGTTCTATACCTTACGCGCTTACGACTCCGGAA